TTTCCTCCACTGATATAATGTAAAAAAGCAGTATTTCTGACAGATTTGGCATGTGGCTGAGGTTGGAAAGTCAAGCAGTCGTTTTCTTTCTCTCTCTTACCTCACTCCAGGGAAATCTGTAATATGCACAAAGCCTTGATTTATTTTTTGCACTCTGGCATATTACTGGAAAATAATTATGAAATAAAACTTAATGAAAAACAAAAGATATTTAGGCCTATTTTTTATATAAGTTATACCTAAACTGTGATTCTTACCAAAGATATTTGTTTCCTGTGTTTTTTCTCCTGCCAAGTTCAGCCATATATCACTTTTATGTATCTGAAGGCCATGGTGTAATGCAATATGAAGCTATGAATGGGATAAAGTTACATATTCTCCATTGATTTTCCATTGTATCCATTATCTTTAATGCTGGAATGCAGGTTAGTGCAAGTGCCGGAAGCCTCTGCACCTCAGCTGGCTGCTGGCTCATGAAATCCATCCCCAGGGGGCAGATAAAATCAGCTGCAAGTTGCAGAGAGGAGACAGGAGTTCCCCAAAGTGTCCAGCTTACCGGGGGAAGTGGGTAGGAAAGAGAGAGGGAGAAGGTAGACTCAGGGAGGGGGACATGAGAGGGCCTGGGAGGAAACCAGAAAAGAGCTGGAAGTGAAGGCAGAGGAAGGAGAAGAGGGAGAGAAAGAGAGAAGGTCAGATCTGCCACATCAGTGAAAAATTGCTTTCTGCATGCTTAATGAAAGAGGAAGAGAAAGCTTTGTAGTCCATGATGCTGCTGCAAAGCCCCCCAGGCACCACCAGCATCTCTGCCCAGCAGAACAGCAGAGCGACAGCCAAGGGGGCTCAAATGCCATTGCTTCCCAATCCCAGTTCCTGCAGAAAGCAAGCTGAGAGCTCACTGCCATTGCTGCTTAGCCCCGTGGGTCCACATGGGTAAGGAGGGTGTTTCCAGGCACCACTGGAGCTGGCCACCATGGCAGATCAAACCAAAGGCTGAGTATCAGCCCTGGGATGTGAGGAAGATGAGTGGGACAGAAGGATGCAGCTGGATGGGGAAAGCAGGATGCTCGGGGAGGGTTGTCGCCCAGATGGGCCCAATTGCACTGGGACTAGATGTTAACACTAACTCTCTAACAAGCTTCTCAAATCACATTTTTTTAAGGCCATGTGTTAACAGAAAACAACTGTTCAAATTTAGCAAGTTCCAGCAGCACTTTCACCCTTGTTCCTTCTGGGCCGCAGGAGTATGAAACGCCACCGCCACTTCATTTTTCATTCCTCTCACAAAGGGGTAGAGCTGTTAGTCATGCAAGTGGTTGCCTTGGACAATCCCATGCAAGCAATCCCAGCAGGATTTCCCCATGTGTGACTAACTGCTCCTCCTGGGAGGCCAGAGATTCCCACTGGGAAGGTAAAGGACCCCACATTTTAGGGGCGGAGCTGTCTGTAATCTTAACTCCACAGCCACCACTGCTGCCCCCACGATGTATTTTTAAGATCAAAATCCTTCTGCAGGTCAGGTGACCTGCTCATCTCCCTCCAGCCTTTACTACTCTGGCTACTCCTGTTGACATCTGTGACAAATTTGTGATCGATGAAACCGAGCTGTGACCAACACAAAAAATCTTTAATAAAACCCTGCCAGGTTAATGGGCAGGCGTTCCTTGGGAATGTTGCTCACCAAGAGCCAGCTCTGCGTGACTTCATGGAATGACATTTCTGGAAGGAACATCTCATCCCAGCTTACCTTGAAGCACATCAGCCACGGACAAGACACCTTGTGTCACCTACAACCTTGGGGACAGAGCTTAGGGGCCTTCATGCAACTTTTCCTTCAGTCATTTGGCCTGGTGGTAGAGAAGGGGCTCAATCTGACAGAGAGCAAAATCTTTCCAGCTGGTTAAAGAGAAAACTGGTCCCTTGTTTTGGTCTTTTCACAGGGGGATAGCCCAAGCCAGGCTCTGTCCCGCCGGCCCCCCTGGCTGTATATATGTGTACGTGCATGTGCAGCACAGCAGGACCCCTTTTCTCATTTAAACAGCCAATTAAAGCCTACTTTGGCACTTAGCACATGACATCAACTTGCAGTACTTAAGCTGCCTAGCACAGTGTGAATTTAATTTGATAAAGGGGCAGCTAATAAAGATCTTGGAAGGCTGGTTAAAGTTCATTAAGCCTTTCCTTTCAAGGTACACTTCCCTCCAGTGCAAAGGCTTGTGTCTACTTTTTTTTTCTTTTTTAAAGCTGTGTTATATCCTGCCACCAGAAAAAGGTGCTTGTGTCACATCCCGACAGGGTATATTTAAAGTCTCACTGTCAAAGTCATGGCAGGCCTTGGTTCTTTGCCCAGGAATGTGCAGAAAGAAAAATAAAAGCCTTTTTCCCTGACTGCGGGGCGAGGAGTGCAGCGTGTGTTAGTGCAGGCAGGCTCCTGGGAGGGGAATGGGCTTCTGTCACACTGAGCTGCATTCATCCTCCTTCTCCTGAGCCATCCGTAATTCCAGATGGATTTCATAAACAGATGAGGAGGCTCCTCTGAGTTCACTGGTTTAATGAAGCCCGTATGGCTGACTCATGTAATAAGTATTTAATCATGTTGATGAAAATCATTTTAAAAACTTCCACCACACACAGTGCCTGTTCCCCACTCAGCCATGGAGCTGATAACACAACAGCACAGCCCAGAAACCTCTGTTTTCCAGAGCCTCTCCAGGTGCCTGCCTTGACTTTCATCACAGACTTCCACTCGCATGCACTGTGCAGTGCCACCTTCTAACAAGGACCCGTTCACCTTTGAAAATACTCTTCAAATCACCCACTGAAGTGCCACAAAAAGAATTTTTTTTTAAAGCCCCACATTTCTCATGCAGCTGTTTCAGAGGTCACTCAAGGGTTAACACTTTGGTGTTTATATCTTCTCATTAGTTTCTGTTTGTGCTCACAAATGCCCATGACTTAAAAATTTGCTGTGCTTAAGTGGTCTCCACTTGTAAACAGAGAAATGCCACAAAACATTGCAAATAGTGAGTCATCTTGGGTGGAAATTATTGCTCTTGTCAGCAGAAGTCATTATCAGTGACCAGAAGGACATGGGCCTCCATCATTCCCAGAGCATGGACCTAAATGAACACATGTAAGACCATCCACCCTGTGGCACGTGGTAGTCCACACAGTTTCAGTACATTTCAGGCTAGCTCCCAAAAGTCACTCCTCCTCCTGTCCTCCAAAGAAAACCTGGAGTTGATGGTCCCTTCCAGAGCAGGCTCCATGCAGAGGGTAGGGGTGACACTCCCTGGGGGCCTTACACTTGTTCTCATGTGCTATTGTCACCCAAATAGTCCCATGTGGACTAGGAGACTCAATGTCAAGATTTGAGCTTATTCCTTTGGGGAACAAGGTCCACAAATCAGTACTTGGAGGGTCGGAAAGGGCTGGAAAAGTCAGTGAGGTCTGAGAGCAGGAGAGGTCACCTTGCGTGGGCTGTAGCACTGAGAAAGTTCAAGGTGCTCTGCCAGGTACTGAGTTTTTTCCCATGGAAGGCTGAAGAAATAAACATTAAGTTCAGGGCTGGATTCATTGTCGTGTTTGCCCTTACCTGTACAACTTTAAATCAGTGTCCAGCAGGTCCAGTCACTTCTTCTGAGACCTCTGGGAAAAGGAAGATGATGGATCCCATAGTGTCCTGCACAGGCTCCCAGCAACAGACAGAGCGAAGTATCCCTTGTTTTATCAACATGAAATTTTGTGGATCAGTCCAAATTTGTTGAATTAGGTTTAATATTAAGTGTTGTGGGCAAGGCCATTTAAATACCTTTGATCTGTAAGATAATATTTTCCAAACTCTAGAAATGTTGAAAGCCGAAGGTGTGTTGGCAGTATGTTATCAGTTTCAAAGTTTCTTGTATCCTGACAAGGAAAAGGCTTATTTTATGACATGAGACCAGACAAAAATTCCACTTTGTGTCATTTACAGTTAATTTACTTTTATAAGCAATTTATTTTTCAAATCACTGAAACACAGCACAGTGTTCATGGCTTCAGAAACTGGGTTTGTTTTAATTTCCTTACTTCACTTTACAATAGCCATTTTTCACTTCTAAACATGCAGATATGTTGAAAAGATACCAGCACAGACTGAACAGAAAGCTGACTGTGATCCTGTTTCATCCACTTATAAAGAGTGTGCCCAGGAATTACCCCATGCTTTCTGATTGAGATGCCCTTCATGCACAGTAGCTGCTGCTATAGGTAGTTATGTTTTGGTGTTTAAGTCTTCAAGACTGGGAAGTTTTGAAGACTGGGAAATCTTCTGGTTAACTTCTTTGACTCATACTGCTCTAGCACCGAGATTTACACAGCTCCAAGTAAAGGGTTCACTTTACACAAATGCTTCATCCTCCTGTTTGTGAGCTTATGAATTTTGGAGCAGCAGGATCAGATTCTGCAAATGCAGGAATTCTGTACTCCTTCTAGTATCTCACTTCAGAGCACCTAATGAAGATGTCACCGTGACTTTTCAGGGGAGCACCTTAAACATAAAAACACTGGAACAGTGGAAAGGTCTCAATTTCCTTGGTTATGACTTCCAACTCCGGAGCTAAAGGACACCAAAGAGAGAGCTTAATGCCTATAAATCATGCAGTGTGAACTGATTCATGACTCAGACGAGGTGCCCAGGCCCCTAAAGAGTCAGGAGAACAACCCTTTAAAATACAGTTTGATACTATTGCTGGAAACTTTAACCCACTGGCTTCACACTCAGGAGGGTTTAAGCTGCAAATGGCAGGAGAGGATTTATGTGTTCCTTTAAAAAAAAAAATACGTCAGGGTAGGAAAACTTGACCCGACGGTTTTGAGACGTGCCTGCCGTAAATAACCAGTTGATTGGCTGGCCTGTGAAGCCATTAGCAGGCGTGAGGTGCCTGTTGGGATTCAGACACCGCATAAAACGCTGGAGGTGCCAGCAAAATGGACACGGCAATTGGCTACGCAGTCGTCTTCCAGCAGAACTGCCCAGGAGGGCCCACGGAAAATGGAGCGGCTTTTATCCCACTCACTGGGCACTGAATCTCTGGAAGGGGATTGTGAGTGGGATCCAGTCTGTCGTGGGCACGGGGGGAGGAGAAGAGAGATAAAATGACCACGTTGTGCTTGGGCAGTAAATCATCTGAAAGAGCAGGAGTGTTTCAAATGAAGTTGGAGATCCTGCCCTGACAGGTTGCAGACGATGAATCTTTTCTGCTGTAAATCACCACAGCTGCCAAGTGGCACTGGTAGGTCTGAGCTAATGGGGCTTTCCACCCCCTGAAAAGTGGCAGCAGCAGTTACAGGAGAAGGGAATTTGATGACTCAGATCACAGGCTGTCAGGAGAGAGGGCCAGAGGTTGTTTTGGTTGGACTCAGTGATCCTTATGGGTCCCTTCCAACTCAGCATACTCTGTGGTTCTGTGATACTCTTTCAGAAGGGGTAATTTTTACCTTTTCCGTCCCAAAAACGCATGTGATGCTGCCATCTTCACTGACCCTGCTGCAGCCACACTTTCTGGACTTGGGTTGATCTTTTTGCACTGTCCCACCCCGATGGAAAGGGAAAAAAGGTAAGAGCAGTTGATGTCCCCTGGAGCAGTGCCTGACAGGTCTTCCATTCTGGAGAAGAACTGCTAGTAGGAAGCAGAGCAGACATGATGCTGGTCTACTCCAGACACCCATTTACACCTTTCTTAGACACCTGCACATTGCAAATGAGAGGAATCTGGTTGTAAATGGCTACATAAACAGTAGGGTAATGATGAACCAGAGTCAGTTCCTCAGGGAGGCTGCGGCTTTGGGCATTACCCTCAAACAAGGAAAGACAGGACCTTGTTCCTGTATCAAACATGAGATGAGAAGTGATGAAAAAAGTGGGAAAAAAGAAATCAGTTAAATATTTCCTATCTTTGGAGTACGGAGAGAAGGGGGGATCACAGCTCAGATGGGGTGTCTCTGCTATCAGGATGAAAAGAGAAGAGAAAATCAAGGGAGAGGGATTTTGTATGTGGAAAACACAGAGGAAATGCTGACAAATACTTTGAATTTATTCTTTTTTTTTTTTTTTTTTGGTTGTTCCTCTTTTGAACTGAAATCCACCTTAGGCAAGGGATTGGAGGAAAAAACTGTTGGGATCTTGCTTCTGTTTTGCAGGCAGTAGCTCCTTAGACTTCATGGGTTTGTCATATAAATTAGGAAGATAAGAATGATCATCTTTAATAAGAACAGGAGCTCAGCATCTTACCTCTGACAGTAGTCAGTAATAAATGCTTTGGAAATGAGTATCAGAAAGGGAAGAGCAGTTGTCCCACACCCAGCAAGCTCCCAGCCCACAGCAGTTTAGAGTCTTCAGAAGACAGATGCTGTATTCATATGGCTTCTGCAGTGAACAGGTGCTGCTTGGGCTGTTTTCCATGAGTTTGGTTAATCCTATCCTTGGAAAGCTTTAGCCCCCACACCAACCCTAGCAAGGTGTTCTGCAGTGCCATGAAGCCTGGTAGAAAAGAGAGTAGAGGGGCAGACACTGATCTCTTCTCCCTGGTGACCTGTGTCAGGACCTGAGGGAATGGCCTGAAGTCGTGTCAGGGGTGGTTTAGGTTGGATGTTAGGAAAAGGTTCTTCACTCATAGGGTGGTTGGGCACTGGAACGGGCTCCCCAGGGCAGTGGTCACAGCACCAAGGCTGCCAGAGTTGAAGAAGTGTTTGGACAATGCTCTCAGGCATATGGTGGGATTCTTGGGGATGGTGCTGTGCAAGGCCAGGAGCTGGACTTGATTATCCTTGTGCGTCCCTTCCAACTCAGGATATTCTATGATTTTATGATAATTTCTTTTGCTTCCTTTAACCTTGCTGTCTGGCAAGTGCTTTAGGCACCATCTAGTCCTGGTTTTATGGGATAAAGTGGATAATGGCTCCACGTTCACTTCATAAGTGCTGATGGCTCAGCCCATATCCCCTCCTTGCTCACTTCTTTCCAAGTGTCTTACCCTCTTTGAACTGCCCATTTTTTGGAAACCTAACACTACACTTTGGACAAATATTTTGCTACAGGAGAGAAAGTACTTGCTTTTGGAAGTGTCATTTTAATACACACAGCACAAATATTTATAAATACATACCTGAACACAGACAGGGCACTTGTCAAAACACATTCAAAGGATACCTAGGTTCTTTCATGTATTACATACTCAGAGTGAAAATAACCAGCTATATTTAACCCAGATCCAAGCCCAGACTAAATTATTTCAAAGGTCAATTAAAGAACAGAAAATATCACTTGCTAAGAGACAAAAAGCTCCCATTCATCTGCAGTTCCAAGAACTTTCACGGAACTAAAGCACAGGATGAGAAATCGTAATTAGGTACCATTTCATATAAAAATCATTGACAACTCCAAGTTCTGTACCTGCCAAGACCTGAATTCAGATGACTGCATTTGGCCTACAGCAGTTGATGGAAACTCCATCACTCACCACGCTGATGTAGTTGTTTGGAAACCAACGGCCCCTGGCAGGGAAAACACATTTCAGCTTCTGTTGAATGACTGCACATGTGAGGAGCAGGAGATGAGACAGACCAATAGCCAGTCCTCAAATTCGGATTATGTTTTGGCTGGTGCTTAAAGTTCAGGTCTGAGGCCAAGTGGAGGCTAGAATTCAGCCTGTAATGTAATCCTGAAATCACATGGGCTCTTCTCCTCAGGTATTGGACTTGGTGGCAGCGACCTGGGGGTATTTTCTCCCTTGAGGTTGTGAGTCCGTCGGTTTGGCTGTGCTCGCTGCATTCCTGTTCTTTGGCCCTGTGTGAGACAGTTCTGGAAAACTCTTATTTGACCACAACTGGAAAAGAAAGAGAGAAAAAAACACCCCCAGCCAAAACCCACAGATCAAATTTGTAGGATGAGTTTGAACCGCAGAGCTCAGTCTTTCACTCTGACAGTCTGCATGATCTCAGCACAGAGATCCCACAAACAGCAGAGGGAAGTGCCTGGGGAGCTGAGCTCCTGCTTCCATCACCCAGCCCGAGCCAGCAGGCGATAGCAGTCTGACCAGGAGAGCAATGAACGCAGCAAGCCAAATCCCTGAAGGAACTATGGGATTTATTCACTTTGGCTGCTTGGAAAAGCTGTTTCCAGAACTTTACTCAACACCTTCCTTCAACCTCAGAACACCTCCTTGGGTAAACATAATCACCTTCCAGGCCTGGGCCTTACACAGAACGAGATCACTCCACACAGGGATGATATTTAGCGCAGGTCACGGTTTAAAACGCCATCAGAAATATCTGTAAGGTCATTCATGTTTCAGCTTTGCCACCAGCCCCGAGGTGAGGACACCCCAGCATGGATCTGTGATGCATACCAGAACATTCGTGCAAGAAGAAGGAACAATGGCCCAGCTCCATTTCTTGTGTAGTCTGCAACTTCCTAGCGCGTCTGACACGCTGGGAACCCACGCGCAACACGGTGATGGAAAACTTGGAGACCGAATGGAAGTGAAGAAAAGCCCTTGGTGTAATTTTACAGCGTGTGAAAGACTTAAAGCAAGAAACACAGCCAGATGCCACAAGGAAAGTACTTTCAATTAGTTCTGCTTTGTGTTATACCTACTGATGAAAAATAAAAACAAATTCATTCTGTCAACAGCTCTATCTATAGCATAATCCTTAAATGAACTCATCCGTCAAACCGGTCTCCTCTGGCAAAACATATTACAATCCCTGTTTCTCAGCTGTGGGAATCAATCATCTCTTTCCCAAACCCATTGGTCAACATCTTAAGAACCCAATATATTTTTATTGCGCTGAACAAGCCAGTCACAGGGCACTAACCTCACCACACCACCTATGTACCAAGGCCTCATGTATTAGCAGATTCGGTGATTCCAGAGGAGCCATTTCCCCGTAGAGGTTACATGGTAAATATGCCTGATCTGGAATAAATGCAAACCTCAGCCTTCTTGCCCCAGCAGCGTATGTGGGACGTGCTGCTGCTCACAGCTGGGCAAAGCAAGAGCACCGAGGAACAAACCAGATTTTTTCTGGGTGGACAGTTCAGGGAGTGATGTTTGAACCAGGAGACACAGAGACACAGACTTGCACTTTTCAGCCAAAGCTGATGGCTCTGTTGAAGCTGTGACAGAACCACCCCACCAAAGTGCTGGCAGCATTCAGAAGCATTTGCAGTATTTCCGAGTGGCGAATGTTCCCCATCCTCCATGCAGGAGGACCTTGAAGGGGGGTGATCTCTTCCCAGTGCTCTGAAGCTTGCTACTGCTCAAGAGCATACTCTCCTTCCAGCAAAGGGACCTTGTGAGAGGGAGACCTACTCTCACTCCTGTGCTATCATTGGAGTTGTACAGGCACAGCCATACTCCATCTTGGATGTGCAAAGGGATGTAGGTGTGGGGGTTCCCAAGGGTTTTGGTGCCCAACCTCCCACGGGAGGCCAAGAGGCAGAATTGGCCAAGCTGAGATGATACAGCAGAGCAACTTTTTACATGGGCAGACAGTGACAGGACAAGGGGGAATGGTTTTAAAATAAAAGAGGTGAGATTTAGAATATTGGGAAGGAACTCTTCCCTGTGGAACACCAGCACAGGTTGCCCAGAGAAGCTGTGGATGCCCCATCTCTGTGAGAGTTCCAGGCCAGGTTGGATGTGGCTCTGAGCAAACTAGTCTAGTGGAAGGTGTCCCTGCCCATGGCAGGAGGTTGGAACAAGGTGATCTTTAATGCCCCTTCCAACCCAAACAATTCCAAGATATGAGCTGTGCTCTGCATGAGCCACATCAGGATAGAATGGTCAGAGAACAACCTTAGTTACAGCTACTAAAGGCTGAAATGTGCCTCAAAGTCATCCTTGAAATCCCATTTCCCAGCAAGACTCACTAGTGTTGTGAACAGACACGGTGCTTTTGGCCTCAGAATATTGGTTGATAGAAAAAAATCCATTAAAAGTGAAATGCAACCCCGGGTGTTTCTTGCAGATATATTGGCTTAGAAAGGTGAACTGCAGCAGTGGTTTTACCTGAGGCAACCTTATGAAAGCTTATTACTTAGCTATATTTTAACTAATGAAGTGGCAACTTTCATGAAATTTACTGGGAATCCCTCAAAATAATTTATGACACAGACACCAGTGCAGACATCTAAGGAATTTTGAGCAAAGCATATCAAGGACACCCCGGTCTTAATGTCCCAGCAACAGTACCAGCTACTCTTGGCATTGCAGGAGCAGCAATATCTGACTGATAATGTACTGCTTCAAGATAAACTTCCAGTCATCTCCCATGGATTTCAGTTCCCTGGGATATTTGAGGAATTTTTGCTTCTGGGTGTTAAAAGTTTTGATGCAAGTCTTGGCAAGAGGCCAAACCTTTCAGAAAGCTCTGGGTAACATTTCCCTGAATTCTTGGGTGCAAGCAAAATGGCAGACCCCACCACCAAACTGATATCACCAAGGTGTGTTATTGATGAGCTTGGATCAACAGGAAAACTGCACAGTGAAATAATTCAGGAAACACTGCAGGAAGGTGACTAAGTAATGAGGCTTAAAAAAAAAAAAAGAAAAAAAAAGAGAGAGAGAGAAAAAAAGAACATTTTACCCACATTTTTAACAATACCAGAGTTTATGGAAAGGCTACCAGCAGCTTGGAGAAGAGCAAGGTACGTCCAGTGTGGCAACCCACCTCTCTGGGGATAGAGACTGACCATGGCCAAACTCAAGAGAACTGTGTGCCCAATTTACCAGGTGCTACGTCTCCATTGCAGGGGAACACTGAAGTGTCCCTTTGGTGCATATAAATATCAATAAATTTCACTGCAGGAAGCAGAAAAGGCAACAGGACTCATCGCTTGGTGTGGATTTTGACAGCTCAGATGTATCTGCCCAGGCCTTCCGGACCCGGCCGGTCTCGGTGCTGGGCCTGGCAGCCTGAGGAGGAAGAAGGGAGGAATTTGAGCTGGAACCAAAGCCAGGCTTCCCTTAGGAACAAAGCCACAGCTCCTGGACATGTGTGCACAGGGGGAATCTTGGGGCAGACAGGTGCCTGGCCCATGTCCGTGCACAGGGACTGACAGGGATTTTGTCAGCAAAATGTCTCCTGTACCAATACCCTTGGGAGGAAACAAGAGTTGCCAGCAGAGCTGGCCAGAAAACAAAGCAAATGAGGCATGTATCACTGGAGAGTCAAATAATCCCTGTGCAGCAAACAAAGTCAAGCTCGAGGAATGAAACCTCCCGGCTGGCAGGCGGTGGCTGCTGAGGGCACACGTGCTGTGGGATCAGCCTCTGGAAAGTCATCTGCTGTTCATCTACCCTAAACCAACCCTCCCAAATCCCCTGGCATCACCATGGGGAAGCAGCCTTGGTATCTTTCCTTTATTGGAGGATACACACACACACACACACACACACACAGAGCTCCCTACAAGCAGCAGGACGGTGTGTTTAGCCCTGCCCAGGAGCTCACTCCCTTCCTTATGGAAGGACCTGCTGTAATTCCCTGCTCTGCACAGTCAGCTGAGGCCACCTGCTTCTCTTTTTCTCACTGGCTCATTGTTCAAAAGCTCATTTGTAAAAGGAGCTGAAAGACCTCACCAAATCCAAGTATCCAAGACCTTGATCCAGCCCCAAGCTCTGCTCCTGAGCTGGTGCTGAGCACCATGAGGTTTTTCACAACAATGTATTGAGCATGCCTTGGCTGTGCTCTTGCGTGTCCCAGATATGTTTTACAATCACGGGAAGTAAAAGGATTTTTTCTTTTAAAAGATTAAATTCTGGCTGCTAGCATGGCCTCGGAGCCCTACAGCCTTTATATGATGATCAGGCATTGCTAATTCTTTAGTTCTTACTGCAGTGGTCAAAACTGGCAACATGGCACAGTTCTGCTGCTTACTCTGGGACTCCAGAGTCAGATTTTGGCACAGACCAATAAAAAAATAACAACTAAAACCATATCAGTGTCCAGCAGATACTTGAATTCTGAAGGAGATAGTCTGTTCTGTTCAAGGAAAGGTGACAAATACCCTAAATGTTTTCAGAAAGAAAAAAAACAATTATTGAGACAAGGCGGGCACAGGAACTAACATCAAATCCAGACCCTGTTGGGATGAGCTGCCCCCCAACCCCAGGTGTTCTCTCCTGCTCTCCTCTAAATCCATTGACAGAGGGGCTGGGGGGCTCTTCCTGGTAAGAGACCACACTGTAGAACCCTTGCCCTCACTGTCAGTACATTTGTGTTCCCAAACCCTACATCATTCTGTCCTTGGGGAGCTGCCCTGAACACTTGTGCCCTTCACATCCCTGGGATGGCGATCACCAGCACTGAGACAAGCTATAAATATTCCTCCCAAGCTTCCCCCATCACTCAATCCTGTGGCACCCCGGCAGTGGCCACAGCCCTTGTGGAGCAGCCCACAGTGCCAGGCTGCACTGTGTGGGAGCACCACCTGCTTCCCTGTCCCAGCAGGATGCCCACGGATGCTCCAAGTCCCAGGGGTGACAGGGCATCCCGCAGGCTCTCCCAGAGGCACCGGCAGATTAGCAGCTCTATTTTTCAAGCTAATCCTCTCCCACCCCCTCCAACTTCATTCAACCCACAAGAATTTGAGAGAACTTGGCAGGCCAGGCAGGATCTATATATAAAACCCAGTGGCCATTTCGTCAAACAAACCCCGATGAGCAAATGGCCTCTGTACCTGGAATGCGGGTTCATGGAAGTGACAGGTCAGCAAAGCAGCTGCCTCTTTCCTCCCAGCACAATGGGGATACCAGAGATGCCATCAGCACGAGTTTTTTCCTACCCTGCTGTGCGCTAAAAAAAAATTATTCTAGGAACATTATGGAGCAGGGGGGTAAAAATAGACATGCAGGTTCAGCAAATGGCCCTCTCCGCTCCATGTGATTCCACCTTTTTTTGCTGAGAATAGAAAGAAAAACAGTTGTGCCACCCTGTTAAACTCTGCTAGCTCAGCAGCTCCTGACAATGACACTTGTTGCTTTCCAAGCATGTTTTAAAAATCCTTCTGGCAAACTGGTTGTTTGTGTGGTGTCAATTAAACCAGAAAAGATGAGCCTTTAACCAGACCAGCGTGGGTGGGACAGGTCAAAAAACTTGTTGCAATGGCCTCAGGTGAAGCTCAGTTTTGCTTATCACTACTGGCAGCAGCAAAGCTTAACACATGGTAAAGAAAGTTGGAAGTAAGGTTTGCTTTGTTCCAGGATCTCCTGCCTGGAAAGCCATCTCTGAGCCCCACACGTCCCTGTACCAAGGCTGGGTGGGAGGCAGCTCCCACTGAAGTTTTTTTGTCTTGGTGAAGCTCAGAAGAGACCAATCCAGCTGGAGCTGCTGGGATGCATCACAAAGCTCTGTGGCTGCTCTGCCCATGCAACCTGCCCATCACAGAGGGCTGAGAAGTGACAGTGGTTAAATAATCCCAGCATTAATGCTGGTGGGGTCATTTCAGTGGTGTGGCCTGGGAGGTCCCAGGCTGGCACTGGGAACATCCCCCACCCACTGAGCCACCCTCTGTGGCTTTTTTGGACCCTGTTTATGTCCAGCTCAGAAGGGGCTGGGTGACAGGCTTTGACCTCAGGCTCTCCTCTGGTTTCCTTGAAGGAGGAGGATGAGGCTCCAAGATGGGTCACCACAATGGGACCATCGTGGGGGGTGAGGGCAAGCCAGGCAACCATCACAGGGAGGCACAAGCAGTGAGACACAGAGGGTGACAGAGCAGAGGGGCCGTGTCCCCCTCCCAACCCCACAGACCCCCCTGCACAGCAGGGATGGTGCCACATGCTTTTAAATGGACAGTCAGGTCAGCAAAACACCACAATTTCAAGAGACAACCCAACAAATCCTTCCTCACCTTGCTTCTTCCTCCCCTCCACTTTCCTCTTTCCCTGGGGGACAGAAGGGCTGGGGAATTTCTGTGCCGTGGTTCCTCTGCCGCTGGAGCAACCTACAACAGTTCTGTGGCTGCTCCAGAACCAGCCTGGTTGTGTCAGAGCCCAGCCTGGGCAGAAGGAGGCCCCCTCTTTAGGGGCTGGATCCTGAAGATTCCAGCATCATTGAAAAGCTCTGGCATTTGGGCTCCTAAACACTTTCTGGGCCACGGGACGCCACCAGAAAAGGAGCCTGACCCTCAGGTGCCCATGTCACCTGCTTGTGCCCCTTATCATCACTCAAAGCCCCTGGGCTGGCACAGGACAACAAAGAGCTTTTAAATTCACCGAATCCCAGTGTTTTCCCAGGCAATGTCCATTGGACTCTCTTTTTTCAATCTTTTCAGTCAAGCACATTCCCTCTGTGGCACAGAAAGGGACTTCAATCCTCAGCTTCCCGAGAGGTCACTTAACAGCGAGCTGGAGGGACTGGAGGGACAACAAGGAATTTTAAGAGAAGGCAAATTAAGCACTTTATAAGTCACTTCCAAATAGATTTATGTGGCCAAGGCTGCTCAGCTACCCTTTCACAGTGGAAAGGTCCCTTAAGAAAACACCTTCAAAGGACCGCTCCAACTCTCCTTGAAGCCAGGAGAGGCAAATCATGCGAGTTAAAGCTGGGGCTAAAACGTGCTCAAAAACCTCAAACCCCTCAAAATCACCATTGCTTCCACAGTCTCCTGAATCCCAGATGCTGGAGCCTAATGCTGAGCTATCAAAGCATGAACGTACGTGGAGTTTCTTTATTCCCAGCATCACATTCTTTAAAGGAGTCCATTTCTCAGCATTAATGTTCATTTCAAAGCAAGGAATTTCACTCGGCCTCTCCCGGGACCCCTAAAGCCCCGGTGTTTGTATTCCACCCCTGCAGCAGGAGCAAGGGGTGGCAGGGAAGTGCTAAAGCCAAATGTTTCCCCCTTTGCAGGATGCTGGAGAATGTGCGGCGACACCTCCGCTCAAAGGGAACGGCCTTGTTTAGACAAGCCGTGGCAAAAACAAAGTGCTGGCCCTGGTGGAACAGCTTCAGGGGCTGGAAGAGTGTTGAATATTGACTTTCAGAACTTGAGGGGGGGTAAATCTGTCCATGGTTTCCATGTAGTTCCAGCCTGAGGCTTTGCATCCCCCTGGAAAAATGTCATTCCTTGGCTTCTGACCCACCAAACTGAACTGTCGGATTAAGGAACGGAAAGGCAGATATCTTTGGCTAACACTTGGCAGCCAGGCCAAGACAATGTCTCTCCACCATCATTTGAGTAATCTCCCCTTGGAAAAGGACCAGACGAATGTTCCCGTTGCTCAGATGATTCCAGAAGAAACGGCTTGTAAACAGCAACAGAAACTGTGCCAGCAAATACCAAAAGGAAAACTGTACCATTTCAACTACAATTTTGGATCTGGCTCCAGTTGCAACACTCTGAGGAGCATTAAAAATTACCATGTCCATGCAGCTCCTGTCTCCCCACAGCTGCCAAGGAGCATCACAGACCTCACAGGGCGCACCTCGTTGTGGGATGCTCTCCCTCAAGACATGGGCCTTCCTCCCTAATCCCATCTGGGATCACTTGTGCATGAGGTCTGGTTGCCCCGGTTGTGTAACAGCTGAGGCTGCTCTTGCTCATCCCCAGCTGGAGCCCTTTTTGATCCTTGGGAAGGGATGTGTCATGATAACAGCTGGTAACCCCAAAGTGCCAGAGGAATGGCTGTGTTTGCACTTCACTGGTCTCTGTGCCCACCAAATCCGAAGCAGCCCACTTTCCTGTGACGGTTAATTAATAAGTATCAAGTGATGCAAGAAAAGGGCTTTCAGCTCTTCACTCCACCTCTCCTTTCCACTAATGCCTGGCAAGCCATTGCCTGTGAGCAGGACCTCACTGTGCTGCACTGCTCCTGAGAAGAGCACACATTCCAGAGGGGCAAAAGGATCAGCATTCTGCAGATGCAGCAATTTTAGGGCATCAACACCACGTACTGTCATCGAGATCCATGTGCATGGTGACCCTGTACTCAAACATGTCAACAACATCAAGAGGGCACAGACCTTCCATCTGCACCCCTCACCCACACGTGATTTCACCTATAGCTCCCTGCACCTCTGAACTTCAAGCACTGAAGGACTTGGTCTGCACCTGGTCAGTGAGCAACAGTACAAATGCCCCTGCACCCCTACCCAAAGCTCAAGGGGAGGAGCCTCCTAGACCACCAATCAAAACAGACCAAGAGGAGAAGGTCAGTGTTATTCCAGAACTTTGCCCCGGTGCCAAACACACACCAGTCAGCAGGGAGCCTCCTTGGCACAGCTTCTGCCCAGGCTCTCTCTGTGCCCACATCTGGTACCCACCCACCAACATGCAGCTGGTTCTGCCTCACTGCTCAGGCTCTTCCAAAGCTTCACCCCAAAGGATCAAATACTGATTTTCATATTTGGAGAAAGACAAGTGGATTGTATAAGTGTGGATAAAACCCATCTGTTCACTCATCTATCCCTTTAACAAGGATGGAAGTTGTTCATCGAAATCCCGAAGCAGAACACGTGCCAGGAGCCATCCCAGTACCAGACCTGTAGGATGTTATAAAACACACAGATTCCTTAAACCCTTCTTACAGGAGATTCACAGCCATGAGCTGCACAAACCCAGCTGGGGAAATGCTGTGCTAAAGCCCCACTTCTGCCCAACGTGGTGGAACAGCAGAGTGTGACCAGAGGTGACAATAAAGCCTGAGATTTTCATGGCCCTCGACTCCAGCCTGACAGGTTCTGCCCCATCACAACCACATCCCAAATCTTCTCTCCATCCCTGAGTGTAAATCCCACTATCAAGTGGAGCTACCTGGGAGGCCGGGGAGAACAGGCTCCCAGGAACACCGTCTCCCTTCTGTCTGTGGAGCGGCGAGACGGGCTCCCAAAAGGCAACAGACTGGAACAACCGCCCTGAGCTTCCAGGGCTCATTAACTCTCCTTGGCCAGATCCCTGATTTGCTACATGATGCATGGAGCAAGAATTTCCACCCTCAAGTCTCCAGAAAAGTAGTTCAGCATCCCGGGGCTGATCAGCCACCGCACCGGCCTCCCCGTCCATCGCAGATACCCAGCGCCTTCGATTACATCATGCCTGAAACCTGGAATGTAGCTCAGATGGTGAAGGCATTAATGGCAGCAATGTAAGGACTCAACAGTGCAAACCTTCCCAAGATGAACTGTCCTGACCTTCTCTGGGCTGACAATAAAAGTGTGACATCATGTGTAAACGAGCTTTAAATTCAAACCAGGTGCCGAGGGCTGCCTGGCGTCGGCGTCACTGCCGTGTGAGCAGTGCTGCTGCAGGCAGGAGAAAGGCTGAGCACAGACAGGACACACTTGACAACAACCCAGGTCTGGGCAGCTGGTGCAGCACAGGACAGAATTAGTTGGTGCTCTTTGGTGCCAGTTCCAGCTGGGGCAAACACCGTTAAGTACAACACAGAGCTGCTGGTATTCATTTCCATGTGTGTGAGCGGTCCTACAGCTCTGGAATCAAGCCAGCAGCACAATAATGAGGGGTTTTTTCCATGTTTCCTTATATTCAGGACTCCCTCAGACCTTGCAAAGTGCATGGAGCTGTACTCACGGGACACAGCTATTGGAGAGCTCTGTGGTTTACAGCCAAAAAGCACATCCATCCTTCAGAGCCCTTCTTGGCCAGCCATCATTCCTCTTGCTGCTATTCCCTAATGGAATGGTCTGTCCTCCCTGCCTGATTCTCACCTTGCTGAACAAAAATGCCCTTCCTCAAGGGCTCTCCATGAGCCGTTTTCCACCCTACTCTGCATTGCCAGACCAGCTGGTCACCCTCCTTCCACATCCCAGAGGCAGTGCCGGCACAGCACGGCCACAGCCTCTGGATCACTTTTGCTGCCTCGTGTTTATAGCAGGGAGCAGATCAGGAGAGGCAGGTTTGCTGCCCATGAACCAACACCTGGGAGGACAAAACCTGCAGTTCTCGCTGGACAAGCTATTTTTTTGCATCCATTTCAACCAGGAACGATTTTTAAGAAGGATGCCCTTCCCTGGTGAAAGCGATGCTACATCCCGAGCACCACCGTGGAGACAACGCTTGGTTGTGTCACCAAACGGGCACGTCACACACAAAGCACAGATGCCAATCATTAGTTACACAAGTACTGTTCTTTATTTTCTGTTTGGCTTTTCTGGGGACACGCCTCGGCTGTCCTGCAGCGAACCTGAGGCAAGGAGAACTCAAAAAGGAAAATCTGTTGTACCACACAGAGTGTGGTTTGACATGAGCTGGGCAATTTTTACACACAGATCATTACATGAATTTCTTTCGAGAATTCCATTTCCACATGAAGCGTGCCTGGATGATCACAACTGAAATGCAAATACCAAAACCACCAGAACAAACTGCAGAAATTAGGCAGTGCTTTTATAATACTGAAAATTCTCTCCCACTGGCAGTAGCAGTAAACATATCCAAAGGTTTCTCTGAAGGCAGAGAAAATACAGTGATTGCTTTCAACATGAAAGTCAATTGTAAACCAACAATCTCAGGTAAAGTGTTAAAATAAATCTAACTGGGAAAGGAGTTCTACAACAATCAATGTTACTCGAGCTCCTGGACTGATGTGAACTTCAGTCTTTAATCAGAAGAGCACATTAGGAAGCCCACTACAGAAATATAAATTTCCATCTCCTTAAGTAGGGACATTTGGAAACAAGTCGACTAATCTCGAAGTATTTTAAGTTATCCACTGATAAATATGTCTATCTCTGTTTTTTATAGTAATACCAGTGTAACCTGATGCTAATGAAAGTGCTTCATATTCTTCACAAACAATCCTCAAAATTAATTTCAGGAATTCATTTAAAATGAGCTGGGCCATATTGGCAAAATATCCACAGAGGTCACTAACCCTGGTCTAAAGAGAAGAGGACAGGACAGTTTGACTGTGTCTCAATTTTCACTATACAATTTCAAACAAACTCCTGCCACAGAAATCAATATATTAAGATCCAAACTGCTTAGAAATATGGGAATAAAAGATGAGCATTTGCCACAATGCAAAGCCCAGTTTTGAGGGCTGTTGTTTGTCAGCCTCCTTCCTGCCATGTTGGTTACAAAAGATACTCTCCACACCCAGCTTGCCACAGCCCAGCTGAAATCTGAGCAGCCTTCAAATGGAGAAGGGATGGAAACAGGAGAAACAGAGAAAATAAATCAAAGGCAACCAATGAATTTTCATCTCTTACATTGTTCTTCCTGCTCAGCTGGGGAAAGGGAATCTTGCCAAGGGAGTTCACAAATGCTGCGGGTCCCTTTCATCCATTCCTGTCCAGTCTTCAGAAAAGGTTAGAAAATGCCAATGACATGTAATAAAGCAGAATCACTGAAATTTATAAATCTGGAAATTTGGAAGCAAAAAAAAAATCCAGACACAAGAATAAAGAAGAAAATATTTCTCAGCATTTGAGTGAGCAGAGAGTTCCAGATTGGAGGCCTGTTTTCCTCAAAAAAATTCATGCAAGTACTCAGTTGTAGCAAAACACACACACAGGGCACAGAATGGCCATGGGAGATGTGGAAGATGAAAATAGTGCTCTTACTCTGCTTTTTCATTGTGGACAACGCTCATACCTACTCCTACATTTGGCAACAGAAGTTCCTTTTCTTTCTGCCCCTCTCCCTCCCTCCATATTTTAAGCATTATAGAAACTTAGAAGTAGCAGCATTTCTAACTCTTTTTTCAGATGAAGGGTAACAGACATCCTGTAACCCCCTGTGCTATCCCTTCTGCACCACAGCCAAAATGTAATAATAGAGCTCAGCAGAGCTGTGAATTGCTTCCATTCATCCTCACCAAGTATTAACTTCATACACTGGCATTCATCATTCCAAAGTCTACCTACCAGGACAGTCAGTGGATAGCCAGGCTAGTTAGGATAATACCCAGGGATTAAAAACAATACTGTAGTGATTTCTGCAGCCTGACAGGAATCCACTGTAAAATTAACACTGCATTTCAGGTATTTTCTCAGTCACATTTTTAAGAGGATGCACACAAACCCAACTGCCTGGGGGCAACAGAGCATGGCCAAGACTCAGTTTTTTCAGGGGGACGAGGAAAGAGCAAAAGGTTAGTAAAGCTTTGCCAACTTCCTGTCCCCTCACAGATCATCTAAGTATTCAGAGTTAAGCCTTGCTGGTTAGTTTAAAATAAAGTGACTGTAGTGATGTCCTACAGGTACACTCTACAGTATCTACAAGAGCAGATAATAAATGAGAAAGAATTTCCATAAAAATTTTAATAAATACACTACCTAAATTCTAGTGTCTGACAAAAATCCCTGAGTTCATTCTCATCAATGTAAGGTCTTCTGTTTTCCTATGAAGTTTTGGTTCAGTCACACAGAAAATCACTTGCTGATGTACAGCTGTCATTGCTTGCTGAAGGCACACTTTTGTAAGGTACATATTTAGCTTTTTACAGTACTGCCAGAGATTCCCTGAGTGTCTGAATCCCTGTAGTGCAATGAAGCCCATGAGACACAGCTATGAGAGGGCAGCTACACCTGGTTATCAAGAGTTAAACAAGTCGGGAGAACTACAACAATAAAGTGAAATTAATTTTTTTTGGCAGATAATATGTCACACCTCTCAGTCATGTTGGTTTTCTGCTGGTTAAACAAGCTGACAGGAGCCACTGCCAGTGCCACAGAACGAGTTGGAAACTCCTGGCCAAGAAGGGACATGCTGTTTCTGGTACTGCCAAACTAGATGGTTCACCTGGAATCATAAAACCTCTGCTAGAAACTTTATTATAAAAATAACTGCAGTATATTTTCCAGGGATTCTTTTCTTTGGTAACCTACCAAAACTTCTGAGTTAGTTCCCAGGCCTCACCACACATGTCTGTTTCTATATTAAACCCCTAAGTAGAAGGATATTTCCAAGCAAAAAGGATTCCTGAGGCAGTACCAAGCTGCACCACCCGGGTGCTTTCAGGCCATCCATCAAAAATGAAAAGTATCTTATGGATCCCAAGAAAGTCAAGTGATCTGTTGGCATGAGAAATCCTGGTTTTCAGGCTCGGGAATAGAGAAAGTGATTCCAACTCTACTCTTTGTTGTTCCTCCCTATTAGACAGGTGAGGATCAAGCACATTTAATCAGGCTTTGCTTCCTTAGGGCAGGAAGGCCCTGAAGAAATTAGGCCACTTTAGAGCCATGAGATGCCACCTGACAGAAACAAATGTTAAAAACCTTACCAGGATACCAGCCACTGCTCCCATTCTACCAACAGGAGGACTTTTTTGGGGGGCACTCAATACTGTATTCAACAAAGCCCAGCTGGTGTTGAAAATTGCATTCACGTTGCATTTAGGGGGAAAAAAAGGAATTATAAAGGACTACATGGAAGTTTATAGAGATCTGAGGTAAAGTCCCACAAATGTAAAATTTCCCTTTGTCTTCAACAGAGACAGATTTTCACCTTTCAAGCCCAAACCTTCTCTGACGCACAACAGGACATAAAACATGGAAACACTCTAGTTCAAACCTGTAACACTTGTGAAAATGGGAATAAGAGAGAAAAAGAAGAAAGTCTTTTACTGGGAGAAATACTGAGGTATACTGAGTAGTATTCAAAAGCAGATACTAATTGAAAAATGTCTATTACTAACTGAAAAATGAAAATACTTCCTAATGCTACTAAAAGCTATTATGCTTGATGGGTAAAGCCTGCTAATTTAACAATTGCAACAGAATGATTTAAGTGTGCTGACACACAAAAACTATATTTCAAAAAGCAATTAACAAATATTATCATGACGTGCCCATTAAACTGGGCTAAGGCAGGTGGTTTCTGGATCCATCTTAGGATAAATTAAGGTAAACACTCGGAATCAGAAAGTTCTTACTATGAACTGGCTGAAATATTGGAAATTATTCAAGCAATGGAGGTCTTGCACAGTTTAGGATAACGTGCATTATCCTAACTGGAAGTATCATGATATGCACATAATGACTGATATAACATCTGTTCACCTCGTTGTCTTTAAAGGGGGAGTTATTCCAAAGTTCTACTTTTGTTCAGTATCTGCCCCATAACCATTTTTGCACCGCAGAAATTCTCAAGAGACCTTTTCACCTGTCACTGTTACATCATTAAAAACCAGTCTTTCAGAACGGCAAAAACTAATTAATTGTCCAGCAACTGAAGAGAGTGATTGCAGATTAAAGCAGGACCATCACAAATGTAGTTGAAAAGAGCATTATTTCTTCCACAGGCAGCTTTGGTCAGTGTTTCTTTAGGATGTCCAGCCTTCACTGCAGTAGTGTTGCCACGTCTCTGGTTCTTGCTGTCCTCCTGAAGCTCAGTTCAGACAGTGTCAATAGGCTGCTACTGATCAATCCAATTGTAAATTATCAGAACTAAACTCAGAAGGCCAACACAAATGCCAAAAATAACCAAGGCACACGCCTGTGAAGGAAGGGAAGCAAAAATTAATGTTTTGCTGGAGGAAGCATTTTATATGTTCAAGGTTTATGACTAACGATGACGAAAACCTGTAAGAACAGGTATAAATGGCATCTTTTAAAATAATCTTTATTATTTCAAATTACTCAGTCTTCAAACACAAGGTATCTGCTTAGGGGGACACTAAACTAAGCCTGGAGCAGTTTGGTTTGCCTGCTCACTCTATCCATCTGCACAAAACAAAAATTATTTTGCCCTTTACAACTCCGAAGGAGTTAAGAAACTGAATTTGTATTTTACTCAAAATGCAATTAAAATTACAATGGATTCTCTACATTTTTTTTATAGCCAGATGATAATAAAATTACCATTCAAGAGATAAGGCCCCAAACCTGCTGGAACTACTCCTGACTTTAAATGGTCAGAGAGCATCATTATTAGAATTTCTTTCAGATTCCCTGTTTTGTCAATACAAGGGCAGCCCTGTCATTTGTAAGAATGGCAGAAAGACTATACATAAACAGTTTGTCAGCATTTTGGTAACTGGCATGAAGTTGCTCTGCTGAGCAGTGGTTAAAATGAAGACAAGCAGTTACAGTGCAAAAAGCAGGCCTACTGCACAAATCCCAAACAGAACTTAACCTACTATTACCAAAAGAGAAACCACAAAGAGGAGAAAAAAAAAAAAGGAAGACAAAAAAAAAAAAAGATGCTTGCATAGAAAAGAAGCATAAAAACTGTTTCACATAAATGCAGCTTGGCTTTGTCCCAGTTGCCCAGACAACATCAGAGTAACGTGTAAAAACTGAGGAGAAATTGGATTAGAAGTCAACATCTGAAAACTATAGGGAAAGGCACTTGCTCAGATCAATGGTCCAGCACATGGACACACTGCTTGTCAGAAATCCCTGGTGAAGAAGGAGTTTCAGAAAAACCAGAGCTACTACAAAGGATAAAACAAAATGCTCACAGATTTTGCGAGCTGCAACAAGAACTTTGTCCCTTGGATCGTGTGCTCTAGAGTGTATTAAGGTGCATTTAAAATGAGCCTATTTAAATGTTATTAGTGCACAGGAGGGAAAAAAAAAGCATACCCCAAGTTTCTGTGGTGATATGAAGTCCTCTCTGCTAAGTTTAAGATAAAATAGTCCAGGATATACAAAAAGCAAACACGTTGATGTGGTTGAACCTTTAAAAAAACAGAAAGTAAGAATTTCCTTAGAGAAGACTGAAGTGCATTACGGAATCATATACTGAATTTTTTTTGAAGTTGAAATAAAAGCCAAGGAAACCAACCACCATGAGAACTTACCAACTACTCCAAACACATTCTTAATGTCTGGCACGTACATTGCAAACAAAACAACAATTGTATTCAGTGTTAAAGTGACAAGGATATGGCAAATCCACGACACGGGAAGATGAGAGAAAAATACCATCAACAGAGCTTTCCTTGCCTACACAACACAAAGAGAAACATTGTGTGGGTAAACACAAACATACACATACATTTTAATCTTACTTCACTTTTATTACATTAGGAATTATACCATCCCAGATGTGAAAGAATATTTTAGAAGTCAAAATGCCAAAAATTTAGTAATAGTTTAATGCTTTTGTCTTTCTGCAGCATAGAGTTTAATTTATTACTTTATTAAAGCAAGATCTATCACATGGATATTAGTCCTAAGGAACTACTCCTTTTTTGGAGGGACAAAAGAAGGCCTGGGTGATAGTGCTCTGTCTCTCTGAACATCCTTGGTAGCAAATGTCAGTATGTTGCCAACTGATACATAATCTATACAATATTTCTACACACATAGTTTCTTTTAGTCATAACTGAATGAATTGTCAGTTCTACCATGGTATTGATAAATTAAAGTAGGGGTTTTTTTTGTGAAATAGGTCAATGTGTGTTTTTAATTTACAATTAAATTGAGTTTCAAGTATAAGTGTGTTTGGGGGGGGGGTGTGTGCGTGGGTAGAAAGGAAAAACCAAGTCAGCAAAACTCAATTTAAGGGGGGGAAAAAAAATCAAACTAAATAAACTTTAGAAGTTCTGAATTCTCTGAATTAAAAACAATGCTGTGGGCTAGTTTTAATCTGAAATCTGTCTCAAGAGCACAAATTAGCTTAGTGGTTAGTTGTTATTTTGGAGCTTTCATGGAACATATGCAAATATGTGGTCTTTGATCAATCACTTGACAAGTGAATAAGATACACAAGACTAGATGTGACTCAAATATTGCACTCTGCAAAGCATTAGCATTCCCAGTGCTCACTGCCAGCTCCAGAACACTCAGGAGTACTTACTGGGAAATGGATTAGAGGGACTGTCAAGAGCACAGCAAACAGGATGGCTACTTTAACAGTCATGATGACCACATCATGGGGCAGGTACCTGGAGTAACCTCGTAGCAATTCAGAGTCCACTTTGTCTGGAAACAAGAAAAATTAATTGCTTTATTAATCATTTTAGGGCTAAGATAATTTACATGGCACATTAAGCTGACATGCAGATGGATCCATCTGCTTGCAACTAACACAGTGAGAAGGGGGATTCAGATACACTCTGGTATCAGTGATACAGTAAAAGTACATAATCTTCAGAAAAATGAAAAAACTTCAGGAGGCAAGTCCGGGCAGAGCCTCTGCTGAAGCCAAAGCTGCCTAAAAAGAGCATAAAAATGTAAAGGAGACAGCATAAAAAAGAAAGATGCAACATGAACCCAAGTGTACAGTCAAACTTGTTGTGTGTCTCTGAAACGGTCAACATCAGAGTCTTCTGGCTGAACTAGAAGCCAGAAACAAATTAAATTTTGCTAAATTGACTGAATTGCATTTCCTTTTTTCCACAAGAAATGCAAGGTAAAATTTCAAGCTGCAATTCTAATTTAAAGGAAGGAAGAAACTCTGCTGGTGTTTGTGCCTTTACTGGCTGTGGGTAGCAATATATTGCTGGATGGCACAGAGAAGGAAAAACAACCTCAGTGGGCCAAAAAGGGATGAATCAGTGATGAATTCCTCACCTTTAACCACTGCCCTTTTAAGGTGAAAATTTTCCCTAACTTAACAGCAAAAGTCAGAGAGCCATGAAAGCAGTCTGCTACCCTGACTTTTTTTTTTGGTTTTGGCATTCCTGCTTGCTTTGGACTTCAGAATGGACCAAAATTTCCAAAGTCCAGTCACCCTGTGAGGTTTCAGATTCACAGAAAACAGAAGAAGCCATGTGAACCACAGAAAGAGGAAACATGTCTCATTTCAAAGAGGGAACTCTTCTTTTGTTTTCAATTTAAAATAAAATGTTTTACATTTTCTCAGGCTGGTGTTTCAGGACCAGGGAACAGATTCTCTCTATTTAAAGAAGTAAGTTAGTTAAAAAAGGCAACCAAAAAGTGAAAAGGAGAAGAAGTATGCAAGGGGAAACAAACAAACGAAACAACCCTGTTACAGACATCCACTGTTGATTCCAGCACTTCAGGCTCTCGAGTCTAAGAATTACTAAAAGAAATCAGGCTTCAGAAAACTAAAAATGTTCCCAGTGCAACAGAATAAAAGGTTACAGTCAAGACAGGGTCTTGTCCCAATCATGACAGTGAAGGTAACAAGAACTGGGATGGTTTCCAGGACTGTTCTTTTTTCCCATTTTTTTCCTCCCCTTCTTATTGAGATTTCACCTGGAGACAGATGGTTATCCTGCACTGCTGCTGAACCCCCCCGAGTTGCACTCATAATTTTCCAACAAACCACATGGAATCACTCAGGAAACAGTAATAGTGGCTGATACACTATTAGGGGCTTTAAGACTCCCCATATAATTATTCAAAGGTTTCTGAGTATCAAGGGAATATTTTCAGACATACACCTACACCTGTGGGATAAAGGTACAAAATTCCCTCAAAATCTGGAATTATTAGCTGCTGAAAGCCAATATTCTTGGTGCTTTTTCAGACACAATCCCATCCCTATGATCAAGAAATATAAAACACTCTGAAAGGAGAGGAAATCCTAATCAGAACACTTTTGTCTTACTGCTTTACTGTCTCCTATAGGAATTTTTATTCATTCCAATCAATAAAGATTAGCATGTGATCATCTCATAAAAAGGGTCAGCTTTCAGAAGACATCAGAAGAATCCTCACAGATGACTGTGATGCATTTATGTGACAGAATTCGTACGAAACTACTCCAGAACCAGCAGGTTGGAGCAAAGCACACAACTCAAATTTACACCAGGACACCACTGTGATGTTATGTGAACAGGACACAAACATTGCTATATAAAACAGACACTCACCCACTTGTGCCAAGGTTGGGATGGACCTTTAGAAAAAGGCCACTGTGTAGGTAAGGGGTCTGAAATCTCTCCGTGCACTTGGGAAATTTGGCCAAGAGTGTCACACAGACAAAGTCATCTATGTTCAAACTCAACTAAGAAACTGTAACAGAAGCATTTCTAAGTCCAAATGCAGAGTTATTACACTGGTACTGAAGCACACTGTCACCTAAACTCTACAGCAAATGAAAGGTGTCTGTAGAGTTTGGTAGGGCAAGTGTCATACCCCACCCACTCTTCTGATTGGTAATAAGAAGGTACATTTACTTCATCAAGCACTATGTTGACAACATCTCTAAGAAATGGGCACTTCTTGGTGCAGTTCATGTACCAAACAGACACATTTCTGGCTCAGGAACATGTAACACAAATTACTGACAACCAGAAGTATGTGCTGAAAAACCCAGCTCATAGTTTGTCCTTTTAAATTTTTAAAATCCTTCCCCAGTCTTTTGTCATTGCTCTTCACTGCATCCAAGTCACAGAAGTAGATGGGAAATCCTGTGATTCAGGCCTTCTCTGTCATTTTTTTTTTCTGGAGTTCTCTAGTTTGCCTTTACATTACACTTAGAAACTAAGTTATCATGAAGAAGGCACTTTTTGCAATCCTTTCAAATAAGGATTTCCATGGGAAAAACATGCTGCAGACCTCCATGCCTTCTCAGCATTAGGGCTGGCTTGCTGTGGGTCAAATTCCTCTCAGAAAAGGCAACAGCCTCGATGCTACTTAGAGACTACAAATCACAGGGTCAGTAAGTGATAACTTGGTAGAAGGTAAAGCCTTGGAACAGACCTTTCAAACCTGTGGGACAAGCAGATTATTATGGGATCTCAAGATTTCTTACAGACCATGAAAAATCTGTAAATTATGCAATTATACAATCCAAGATATAGTGGCAATCAGTTTAATTGCACAGTGTTAGAGAGCATCAACAGACCAGGAGCTCCACTTTAGGGACCAATATCTCGTCTGTGTATCATTTTAGGGCATAAAGCCTGGGAAGTTTAGCTATATTTATATTATTATAAATAATATAGCTATATTATTTAGCTATATTACTTTGAGAAGTCAGTGAGACTGTAATACTTTGCAGTGTTGGGCATATTATTAACTCTTGACAGGAACGAGATTTCTGAGGATCCAAGTGCATCAATGCCTGCAGCATTCCAGGCAGGAGACATTTATCAGTAACTTTCATCCTAAAGAATACTTGAAGAACACACTTACCATAAAATGTCAGGTACCCAAACAGAGCAGATATAAAGTAAATTAGGAAACTCAGGCCAATTCCTGTGACAGTTACATTCTGCATTCTACTTTTGGATGGACTAAAATGGAAAAAAAAAAAAAAAAGGGATATCAGTGTTGCTCTTGATCTGTATTGAGGACAATTAAACACAGCACCATCTACAGAGCACCTTGACTTTCACAAGAAGTATTGTCTTAATTTATGGCCACTGAGTATTTGCTAAGTTCCGTGCTGTCACTAATATTTAGGGGGGTTAAAAGTATTTTCAGACTGGTAATTAAAGGGCACTTTTCAAGCAGACAACTAACACTGTACCCATCTTGTAGGGAATTTAGACATCCCAGTGTATCTTTTAAATCAAAATTTGATTTATCCAGGATGACATCTATTCAGAGCAAGGAACAGAATCTGAGTCAAAAAACCCCACTGCATCAGATATGGCTAAATACAGATTCAGTTACAGCAACAAAAATTTACTATTAAGGTACCTTAACAAATGACCTTTCCTGTCCTCAAGAGTGTCCAGACCAGGACAATAAACTGACACTGATGAACCATATTTGCTACTTTTCTCTCCTGTAAAAGTCAGTACAGACTAAAACTGTACATTTCCCAAAAACATGAAAGCTAGTTAGTTAGCATTGTTTGATGGCACTGACTTGAAAATAAAAATTATTGAAGATTAATTTAGAGAAAATATTACAAAAATGCTATAATTATATTTTAGTATTTCAAGTGTTTTCATACATTACCTTTGGAGTTCACAGTAGATGGGTAAGACTGAGGTATGGCAGAGAAAAGAGAAGGCCATGGTTGGTATTGCATAAGCACTCTAAAATAGAAGAAAAACATCTTGTAAGTTGTTTGTTATGACTGTTGGTTGGAAAAATATCTGGATGAACTCAGAATTCAGTTCAAGTGTTGGAAGTCAGAGGAAATCTTTCCACATTAATGGTTTCAGATAAATCTCCACAACACAAAAATCCCACAAAATTGGACCTTTTCAAGTCATATCACTTCAAGTGGTCATAGCTCACTATTTCATCACCAGGAGAAGTCATGCTGTCTATAGGCCAAAACCTGCAAGATTCTTTTTTGGTTGTACTGAAGCCAACTGCTTATGTAGAAAAGAGTAGGATCTGCCCCAGAGTCAGTACATCATTCAATAAATTCTGTAAGAAGATTTCTAAATTCTAATATCCACAGCTACCTGTCAAACTGCTGATTCCTTCATCCTGACTTCATTGTTTCATCACTCCCTGACAAAAATTTGGATGCAGCATGAAATATAAATATTAACAGGAAATATAACATGCTTTGGCATCTGAAGGTTTAAGAGAGTTATGTAATTAAAGCTGCAACCACGCAATTAGTGGTTTATTACTCCAAAAACTTGTAATAAAAGAGATGAATCATCCAGTATGGCTTGCTGCAATTGCCAAGTGGAACAAACTGAACTACAGCACTCTTGTGCTGACATAATCAGGCCCATACTGGTAAGGATATGCCACTTTCTACTGATAAAGCCAATTTTAAAAAAGAACTAGAGGTGAGTTCCAAGATTCTTCAAAGCACAGAAGGCCAGACAAAAGGCCAGAATCTCACAGTAGATGTTTCTGGTCAAAGCACCATTTCTGCTTTGATCTACAGATAACATTTGTCTCATGAGTGCATTGCCCAAGGTTGTGGGTTTTTTTTTGGTTTTTTTTGGTTTTTTGTTTTTTTTTGGTTTTGGGGGTTTTTTGTTTGTTTTGTTTTTTTTTTTTAATTTTCCCCTTCCCTTTTTCTTGGGAGGGTGGATTTTGTTTTTTTCAGATAAATGCAACCACGTCCTTCCTAAATCCCACTACAGGGCTATCCCAGGTTTAATCTTACCTGTTTCCCTTCCTCTTCACCCCACAGCAACTAGGGTTCTACGTGACACTTCCTCTCCTGCAAGCCTTGATGGGTGGTGACATGATTTAAATGCCACATTAATTAACAAATACCAGAGCTGGCACCCAATGAGATGTACAAAATTGCATGAGTCCTGAAGAATTAGCTTCAGGTATGGAAAAACTAAGGTTAGGTCCAGGTAGTGTCAAGAAACCTGTTCTGCCTTGCCAGGAACTGAGAGAGTACCTACAGCCAAGTATCACTGACTTCCAGCTGAGGGCACATCAAGCTGGCTTGATCTGACTGCATCATGACCACTGCTGCATCTGTTAGACTTTATTCTTTGGTCATACTTGAAAAATATTTTCATAAATGTTAACTTGGACAGTCAGCCTTCATATATAAAAAAAGTGAGACTGGATAACACTTGGCAGCAGGTATAGGAAATACTTCAGCAGCCTATAACTGGTTTTACAGAAGGACAGCTTACCCTGGATAAGGCTTAAACCCCAATTTTTTAAAAACCACCACCCCCCTTTAAGTTTGCGTATTGTTAATAGAGATTACCTCTTTTGAAAGATGAAAGAGCTTTGCTTTACAATCCCCAGTAGAATTTGAAACCTGTAAAACATAAACACACAAAAAAAGGCATAATGAAAGAATAAGCCCAAGCCACAGACATGAAACTTTTCAGTTTCTGTGATGATTAATAAAAGAAGGAATTTAAATTGCAAGCCATTCTGAAAGTGTTAATGTAAAAAAAGCATTACAGTTTACTAGTAAAATTAGAACTTCAAAACAGAGGGCACTTTACCTGTAAAGCCTCTATGGCACTGCTCAGAGGTAGAGGACAAGGGATTGACCATTTTTTAATCATAACCTGCAAAGACAGCAGACATTTGATGTGCGAATGACAACCTAAAAATCAAGTTTTCAATTTAGATACACGTAGCTAAAATATCAGCCTGTTGGAACACACAGCAGGGAGCCACACCCACAGTAAATTACCAGGCCTGCCTGGCAGACAGGCCACCAGAAGGGAATTCTGACAGAAAAGCTTGTCAGTGCCATTCCATCCAGCTGCTCACTCTGCACAGCTGGCAGCCTTATGGTGTGGGGATCTGGAGGTGGGGCACTGCAATGGGCTCTGACATGAGCTGAAATACAACCAGCACAACCCATCCACTCTCCCCGGGCTCCACACCAAGGGCCTCCCGGACGGAGTAGCTGCTGTGCTGGCGATCCCAGGCTCGAGCCCTAAGTAGACGAGCCCTAAACAGAGATAGAGCAGAGCCCTAGGGCTAATCTTAAAAGGCAGAAACATATGGTTTGGACTAGAAAGCAAAGGAAAAACAATAAATGCAATTATTGTCCCAGAATGTCATTGGGCCTTTAGCTACACCCTGCTGGTTTAGGGACTGCCAAGTAACAGGGCTGAAAATCAAAGGGAAATTAAAATAAGAAATGCTACCTCCTTTTTCAGGAGCCCAGTTTAAAATGATAGTTGCATTGCTCTCCTCAACCCTAATTAATTTCCTATTGTAGTTGCCTGGCTTTAGAGGTTATAATTCTTTTGAAGCCTAGAGCAAATAATTAAAAACTTAATTAAAGACTCGGATTCACGAGAAGAATAACATGGAAGGGAGCGCCTCTCCTGGCTCAGAGAACCACATTTTGCTTGCTGCCAAGTGGTGTTTCCCAGAGGATTAGATGCTCCCTCTTGTCACCAGTGCCAGGAGAAGCAAACAAATGTTACCTCCGGACAAAATGTGGGGAAAGGGAACTGTGAGCGCATTGTGGCAATAACACAGGTCTGGGACTGCACAAGGAGAACAACTGACTCAAGGTATGGAGCTCAGTGGCAGCCTGAAAATGTTGTGAAAATGGATTATCAAGGGAAATCCTCCAGTCATGTTTCCTACAGTAAACTGGCACTGCTTTATGCCATTTACTGATTGTCTGAAGTGCCTCCCTCTGTGCCGTGGGAACGGCACCCTCACCTGAGGGAGGGTGTGAGAGGGGACAGGGACGTGCTGGGGGTACACCAAGAAATTCAACTGAAGAGCGAGAAGGGGAGAAGGAGGAAAAGGCCAAACACTAAAATATAACTTGGGCCTCTCTGGTTTTTAAAGGCATCCAGATAGGGGAAATGCAGGAGAAGGCTCCAAAGTAGTTGGCTTTGTGGGAATGTCATCTAAAGCTGGGATAGGCTTCCTGAGCACTGAAAAGGGCCATGGAGCTGAAGGGCAAGGTTTGGGGAAAGTAAAATGTGCCTGGCAGTGGTGAGGGCAAGGTTTCCTGCCAGCTAAAGAGCAAAGTTATATATAAACATTGCAGAGGGAGGACAAGCCAAGCCGAACCTAAAAGGCTGAACAAAGTTTTTCTAAAATAAATGTAATACAGATTAAAAAACGGAAACTAAAAAAAAAAGGACAAAATAAAATGCATTAGGTGTGTTTAAAATTTATATTTACATTTGCCCACCTGCTTAATTATTCAAATCTGTTTGGGTTTCCAACTGTAGTCTAATGAGGTCCCCCCAACAGGAAGAAATTTTTAAGCTGGCAGCACAGCCCAATTAACTTGAGTAGTCACACAGGCAGCACAACCTTCCTCTGGAACTTTAAGCCTATTTCACATAAACGTTCTTTTGAGTATAACAAACATTTGGTTTTAAGTAAAAAAAAATAAAAAATAAAGAGAAAGTCTAGTGGAAATAAGGTATTTTAAATCCACACCAAAAACACTGCTAAAAAATCAAGTTAGAGGCTCAAAGTGTTTTAATATTCTCAGTGATGTTGCCTTTTCATATCCTGCAGAGGGAAAACAGGAACCTCTTTACTCCAGCAGTACTGACAGCACTCAGCAAAGAGTGCATAACATCATTCATTACATATGGCAGGTTCCTAATCTGCATCACATTTTGTTCTGGGAACATAAACAAGAGATTTAGAAAAATACCATCAGTAATCATTAACACCTCTGTTGAACAAGCTACCAATAATGCTGTCTACACACACACACACAAAATGTGTCTTTACTCTTCACCAGTATTCAACACAGCAAGAAGGGAGGCAGTAAAAAAGAAGTTTACCAATCATAATTTCTTTTCACTAAGGATTGAAGTCAGGGAAGTATTCAACAATCAGAAATGAAAGTGCTCAGGACCTCACAGAATCTGGCTTCGATTAATATGTATTTGTTTATCTCCCAGATCAGCTCATCTCAGGGTTTGCAAATTTTTCCTAGTGAGGACTAGGACCAGTATGTTGGCTTTAAAGGAAAAGACACTGAAGATACTGAAGCTACTAAAGCACAGAGGGGAAATTTGTGAGCTGCCTAAGCCCCAGAGCAGAGCACAGAACAAAGAAGTCCCCAGCCCTTTGCTCAGTGCACTCACTGACCAGACTGACCAAGACCTCTCTTTTCTGCAGGCTGCAGTAAAAATGTGGCTTCCTGGCAAAAAGCTGAACAGATGGTGTGCACTTGAAAAGGCACAGAATTACTGTATATGCAAAATATAATTATATCACTTCCATATGACTAACACAGTTTTCTTCTGGAACAAATTAAAACATATCTGCCACACAGAAATTAACAGTGTGCAAACTAAAACACCATTTCAACAGCACATATCACCCACTTCAAAGCAATTAGATATGAAAACTAAACCACATTTAATGTCTTGGACTTTCAGTGCCTGAAGAAGTAGGAGAGATTATTCTGTGAAGAGTATTGGTTTTCTTTAAATATCTGTAACGGTTTTTAAAAATTTTTACCTCAATTAGATTTACTGTGGCTGCTCCTTTGTCATTTAACAACAAAGAGTAAGCACACAAACTGAACCATTTCCTAAGAAATCCAGTAGTCTGTGCTCCTTCATTAGTACTTTCTACCTATCTTTTTGATGGACAATCAAAAGTAAAATCTAGTTTAAATCATCCCAGCTTGGCATGGCTGCACACAAGTCTTCCTTACACATTTGCTTTTTCAGGGGCCAAAATTGCTTTCAAATGCAGCCACCCATTACAACAGCTTTCCTCACACTCCCATCGAAATCCAGGAACTGAACTGGTTTTAAAACCCTTGCAATTAGCTTCAGTCAAAGGCCTATGTCAGCACTACAGTTAGTGCTTTTTCTACCCTTTTTTTTCTTTTTTTTTTTCTCTTAAAGATAAATTTTAGGAGAGAGGTCAAAAGTTAAGGTAATTTATAAATATTACAAATTAATTTCCATTAGCTCTGGAGGGGCTGTGGCTGCTCCTCAATGTTCATCTTAAGAAGAATACTTCCCAAGGTCCTACAAACACTGCAGCTCTCCAGGGATACCCCAGGGAGATGTTTTGACAGCTTTGAAGTTTGGTTTTATCACATGGTTTAGTTCCTAATGGATTGCCTTGGTCTCCTGGATGGCATGTTTGTTCAACTTGCCTTCAACTCTGTTTATCCCTTTGTAAAACAGGTATTAAATGCAAGTCAATGCAAGCCAGAATGACAGGGGAGAGGGGGAACATTTTGCCAGGCTCCCAAAAAAGATTCCAAGAGATGACAGAGTGAGAGCTGCTCGGTTCTACGACATATTACACATGTGCATTAGCACACTTTTTCCCTGTAAAAAGAAAAATAGTGCAACTTAAAGGCACATTTTCCCTCTTAGATCTGCCTAGCAGGTCTCACTTTTGATATTTGGAAACATCTACCTCACAGGGGCCTTGAGAGGGTGAACATCAGGGTCAAAAGCCCCCATATGGCTCAGAGAAAAGAACTTTTCCTTTCAGCTGGAAAGAAGAATAAGGTCATTGACGTATTAATGAATCTTGTAAACTGCCTTAATGAAGTTCTAGTTTTCTTTGCCTTTTTTTGAACTCTGTCACTCCATTATACATGTAAATTTAATTTATTTGGAGTATATTAAATTTTCTTCTGCACTAGTTGCAGTAAGTAATAGTTAGAAGCTAAGAAAACAGAATTCCATTCCTCTGCTAGTAGGGAAACAAAAATATATGTGCCAGCTCCCTTTGCTGCACTGTCAGCAAAACAAAAATATTGTTACATTTACCAGCCCAAAATATAATTATTTTAAATCTTTTCACATGTTTGGAAGTTCATACACATTTCTAAGCCTCAGCAAAACAAATGTAATCTGTCTAAGCAAGCACATACTGAACTTAAGGAAAACTCTAAATTTCACAAAAAAAGTTAAGGGGGGAGGGGAAGACAATTAATTTCAAAACAGTGTTATGAAAACATTCAAACAATAAGGAAAAAAAAAAAAAGATAAGCTGTGCAGAGATTTTTGACTTACCACAAGAGTAAAGTACACCGTAAAGAAAAATGATAAACTACTTGTGTAGCCAAGAAAGCCTGTAAAATAACAGTAAAAATAAAAGAGAATTTATAAGGAAAGTGATCCTAATGTACAGCTAAAGCTTTACATTTTAGGCATGTTTTCTATTACAGTGCTTGGTATCTGGGGCTTAGGACTCAGAATAACAACATTCCAACTGCCTGTCACAGATCATTTATGTAGTTTTGTAGGGCAGAATTAGAACTGGCTTACCACTAATGGCATGCTGTAAGTAAATGCAGCTCTTTAATGTTCTGCTGTAAAGATTTTATTTTAGTATTGCAGACAAAATACTACTGCAACCCAAGTAATAGGTTAACTAGGCAGGGCTGGAAGGCAGAACACACTACTACCACTTAAGCAGTCACCAGCACCACCAGCCCCGTGCAAGTTTAAATAAATAAATAACCCATTAAGGTTTTAAAGTCTTCAACGGTAATTGCTACTAAAGTAGAACAATATTCGCTTCTCTCCTTTAATTACTCACCAATTTTAGGAAGAAGGGCAAGAGGAAAAACAATGCAGACTGAAGTAATGAGCAGCAGCAGCCTCCCATCGAGGTACCAAGACCTGTTGGAAAATCTATTTAGGACTGATACAAAGCTCAAGAGTCCTATAAAATATGTTCTCATTTAGAACTGTGATCTTAGACAAAATAACCACTAGGACAAGAAAAAGAAATCATTTCCAGTCTCACAAACAATTTACATGAATTTGTATTCCTGGTTTCTATACTGAGATATAAAACAGAGCTCCCAGACAATGAGGGGGCAGAGCATCATCCCAAACTAACCAGCACTGCAATGTTCCACAGGCAAGTGTCTGCATGGATCAGGGGTCTGATGTGTGTCAAGTTATTTCTCAGCAGCACAATATGCAAATCCCTGCCCTGATTCACAGCAGTGATCAGAGGGAAGGGGATTTCATACTCTACGGATTTTCAACAGAAGTACTTGCAGAGCACACCACATGTATTTTAAATTGGATTACAGTGAGGTGTGTATTTACACTGCTGGAAGAAACAGCAACATCAATTCCCACTCACTGCTGAGCTTCCCTTCCAGTTTATTACTTCTCCATGACCTTAGTTCCTTACCATTTCCAAGAGGTGTGAGACACAAATCTCAGCTATCCAACCGATTTGTTTGGAAACACAGTTACATTTTCTGAACGTATCAACTTTCTCTTGTACCCAAGTTTCATTACAGCTATCACTGTAGTATTCGAGCAACAGAAGAAAACAACAAGGTAATAAACTTTCAGTTGTTTGGAAATTATGTTTCCTGTCCAGAGGTGGTATAAGAAAGTACAGCAGTGAAGAGGATGTTCTTCAATTTTGCACAAAGTGATCACTCATTCTTTGTATACATCCACACAAAAATTAAAGGACAAAAGAGACTGAAATTATGATAATGAAATCTGCTATAATATTGAACCATAAAACTATACATAATAAAAAAAGCCCTGTAGAGGCACGTGAAGTCCTCGTGCATTTAAAATCTGTTCGAAGTATCAAAAAATCCCACCTCCAAACTGAGGAGAGCACAGATGGATAAGCTGTTAAGAAACAGAAACATCTTGAGAGTGGCTCCCCTGACTTGGCAATAACCATATCCTGTACTGATAAACATCTTGCACATCAGCCTCCAACTTTACTACCTATAAACACCCTGACCTTTGACCTTCCAGTTTATTTAGTCCAGGATATGGTTAGCACCTAATAAACAGGCAGCACCTCAAGTTATCATAGGGAAAGCACCATAACACCTGCCTTAAAGAAGAATTATCCTACAGGTATATTAACTGCTGCTGTACATTGTGGGTAGCCACTTGTGTTATAGAAGTGAACAGAGAGATTTCAAGGCTGAGGGCACCTTCACCAAATCGAAACCAAAATGACCATTAGGTGACAATGTCTGTATTAAAAATTAGTTAAAATACATCACTCTCCAAAAAGTGTATCATTAGCCTAAGTCTCCTACTGCTACAGTGAAGAAGCAGCTTTGCCAAGATTAGCTCCCTGCTGTAGTATTTATTCTTCACGTTGTTGTCATTTGGCATTCACATATTTTTACATTTTTTCTTTCTTTTTTTTCTTTCTTTTCAGTATGGTGGATGTTCAGATCAGGAGGAACAGCATCATGGCAGCAGACATAAGTATAATGCACTATGTGTGCATGTGGGACCTCTGTTTCAGTCTCCTCACAGCTGCTGTCAAGGTTCACCAGCTCAGCAGGACAGAGAGGAAATTATTTTGGTTACTTTACTGTGCGTGAAGGGGGGAAGAGAGAGAAGAATGGCAATGAGGTGATGGGAGGGAGAAAACACAATTTTGTAAACTCCTTAATTTTGGAATACCAATTCTTATACCGAAAAATACCTCAAAAAAACTGAACAGGGGACAATTTCCTGGTTATCAAAAAATACACCCATTTTCTCCTCAAAGTACTGTTGTAAAAATACACTTATTTTCCAAAGGCAGAATAAATGTTTTGATATTGCCTCTAAAATCAATTTGATCTGCAAATTTAATCCCGTATGATAAAAGCGTTCCAAATATGAAATACAGAATATAAATCCTCGACTCTACTGAAAATGCTTTGGCATGCAGATGTTTCTCCTCCCTCCTCCATATTTTAACTGAAAGCAGACATTTATAAATCGCTTTAATTTCATTCCTGAATTCAGCAGAACAAGATATTCACATGTTCTAAATTAGGATCTTACTCTCAGTCCATATCAATTATATAACACACAAGCAAGACAACTTAATTGCATCAATCACATCCTCTGACAGGGTCATTAAATGCTAGCAGAGGGCTCACAAATTACAACTTTTTAACACAACCCTCATTTGAAACTATGCTCATGTCATCAAAACTACGTGGAATTCTTGTTGTGCACACAGAAACATCTCCACCTGCAATCAACAAGTGTTCATATTGTGTGGGTTTGTTTTTAAAAAGGCACGAGGATGTGTTGGACTGGCTCTGAGCCTTTCAAACACACACACACACCTGCCAACCTTTACCTATGAAAACAATTTAATGCACAAAACATTCTTTAAATGGTTTTCCCAAATGTACAGCTCAGGAGGGTTTATGCATATAAAACACTTTCACAGATAGTTTAGCTGACACTTTTGATACATTCTAAGTACAGTTAAAGATAAATGCTGCACCAAATGGAAGTGTATCAGATGCTGTAATGACTTAAAAACAGAACAGTCGTGCAACCACATCTGGAAACAAGTTATCCAGGTAAAGAAGTTGATTTAAACTAGTCAATATTTATGCCCTTTGCATAAATAAGTTGTTGCTTAGGCTTGATATTTGATTACCTATTTTTGTTGAAACATTGCCTACAATTTAAAATGTCTGCTGGAAAAAACGTACACTTAACATCTGTGGGGAAATCCACAGAAACAAAAGATTGTGATCCACCACGGCCAGTAATATGGCAAAAGAAATAAAATATAGATGTGAGCATACAGAGAAGGTCAGCTGTGTGCATGTAGCTGGAACACTGCTTGACCACTGCACTTGAAAACTTTGCTTGGACAAGTATTAGGGGAGGGAAATCGTGTCAAATAAATATTGATCAGTGGAAGAACTCCCGTTAACAGAGGCAGGAACTGGATGAGACCTGGGCTGCCAATCACCACTGGAGCCGTGGTTAGGATTCCTATGGTCAATCTCAGCTCTTTCCAAATGCAAAGCTGAACTTCATTGCCACCTCAAACTGTAATTTCAGCGAAGGAAGAAGCGTGGGTGTTGGCAGTGCTGACAGTGCACTGAGGATTACACAGCCCAGGTGATCTGTAATAACCACTTCAGCACTGTAACCTGCCTGTGCCTTCACCAGTGTTCCCATCCAGAAGATCTGAGGTGCATTATCACACAGCCACCTTAATAAAGCAGTTTTTCATGCTGCCTTTTCCAGACAAAAAAAATCCTTTGAGCAACACGTGGGACCTCCGGGTTCTACCCACTACGAGTTTTCTTAAGCTGTTTGTTTTAAAGTGTGTCTTTGCTGGGAAAAGTCACTTTGCATGAACAGAGCTGACATAAAATTAAAACCAGTAGTAAGAGATTTAAAGATACTGAATTTGGAGACAGACAGACTGGAACACACATTCAGCACATACAGCAGCAGCTCAAGGCCAGCGTGTATGGAGAGTGGGGTTAATGTATGATCTTGAAGAAGGTTATAACACCCAACTGAAAAGCTGATGACTACCACAGCTGGAAGAGATACATTAGCAGTCTAAAAATTACATCCACACATAAAATATAATACTTTAAAAAAAAAAGAAAAAAGAAAACCAACAGAAACCTTACCAAAACTGTAAGGGTCAAAAGGGCAGAAAGACAGAAAGCAAGATTACAACCACAGTTCGTTTCTCAAATTCATTATAAAATTTCTAAGTTGTAAGTGAAAAATTATAAAATTAACTAAGGTACCTTTTAACAAACTGATTTCACTTAAAATTCATCCACAACATTCAGGAATAATACAAGCATCGCACAGCCTTGAGACAATTTCAGCACATTTCAATCCAGAGAAAGTTTTGAGCTCAAAACATCTGAAAATAGCAATTTGGAAAAACAGCTGTAACCCCGTCCAAGATACACTGTTATGAATGACAGTGGACTGGAACAGCAGCACTGGAAGAACTCAAACAAGGTATTTCAGTGCTGAAGCTGCAGTGTTTGCCTTAGCACAGGCACAGATTCCTTGCGACAGTTCTGATGGAAACGTGAGGGACACACTCCTTACACACAGCTTTACAGCTCAACTGCAAAGAATCATTTCTTTACTGGGAGCCAAGTCAAGGAATTATAAACCAAGTCTGGAAACCTGGCATTTTTCCCATGACAAGTCCAATTACTAGAGCAAGACAACAAAATATTTAAATATAAATGCCTGCCGTTTTTTGTCCTGTGGTTTTGAAATATGTGAAGTGATAACATGACAGCAGTTTAAATGTTTCTCCTCCTTTCCATCCTGCTTCCCCTTTTAAATTTTTACAGAAGGGAGATTCTTGTAGATGGAGTTTTGCCACTGACTTTAAGGTCGTCTGATGGGAAATGGCTATGAGGAAAGAATCCCGCTCTGTGTGCAGTAGAACACTTGCACTTGCCAAATACATTTTATATTCCAACAACCACTGTAAATAACTATTTTTTTTTTTTTTTTCAGATCAGAGGAAGTGTCAGCACCCACCTCCTTCAGCAGTCCTGATCTGCTTTTTCCTTCAGGACAAATACAGAGTGCACGACATGAAGCATTTTTCCTTACCCGCTCTCGGCTCCACTCAAGAATCCTGCAACAGCCCCAGGAAGCTCGGACTTCACAATTAACAGATAAGATGACATGGCTGCAAAGAGAAGCAGGACAGATTTAGCAGAGGAATACAATACCAACATCTCTGGCTGTGACAGCCAGCACGGCTGAACCGGCGTGGTTCCGGCTGGAACATCCCGGCTCTGCATCAGACACCACGGCACCAGAACCAGAATTTAGTCTCTCACACACTTCCTTTAAAAATAGCTGCAAGTCCCCCAGTGTTGCACTGATGTCAGCTAATGCCTCCAAAGAGGCTGCTACAATGTGAGTCTTGGAATCCAAAGGACTAAAAGGCAGGATGATATAATACACAGGTCTGACCTTTTACCTGGCAATACAGACCTACGGGTGAGAGACGGACGACGAGGCTGCAGGACGACTCCTTCTTCTTCATGAGACATTATTAATGATGAGAGTAAAAAATATTTATTTCTATCAGTACAGTAGGCTTCTTTAATGACTCTGTTTTTAGTGTTGTTCTACTGCTGTTGTACTAAATAATTATATGACAGAAATTTATATAAAAGAATAGGACTTCAAAGGGATTTTTATATACTGCAAAGTTTGGCCCTCAGAGCTAAGAGGATTATCAGTGACAGACCCCTGATTCTCACGCTAAACCCACCAGCCAGAAGATACCAGCAACAACATCAAGTGCAAAATATACAGGAACTGCCAATCAGAAGAGAAATTACTAGGTACTCCTACAAAAGCGTTGACTTGAAATTAAGTGTTTATAATTCTATTCAGCAGAAAGCAATGATACAAACACATAACTCCAAAAACTCCTTCACTGTGTCAGTTTTCTCCTTTACTACATAAAATGATCAAAGGCATAAATGGGAGGGTTATTAAATTACAACTTACACTAATCTGACACCTTCACACACTGTTCATGTCACTTTTTCATGTAAGCAGCAAGTGTTTAAATGAATTAAAAACTAGCAGAAAATTACTCAGAAAAGTCAGCTTTACAAAGAGCTTCAACAAATATCAAAGCCTACATGAAACTAATTTCCATCCTTCAGCATCCAGTAATTTTAGTAACTTGCCAATAAAACTTTAGTTGCATTTAATTCTTGACAGAAATTCTTCTGTTGTGTTCAAATTTTACTGTTCTGTACTCAGTAATTCTGTAGAATTTTACCGTGCCATATTTATTAATGCTTTAAAATTAAAACATACATCTTGGAAAGGTAAATCAGTAAACTTCCATAAGCTGATATTTGGTTTGGGTTTTTTTTTAAGGAATGTTTTGAACCTTAAAAGAAGTGTGGACTCAGACACTGGTGTCCTACAGCAGTTACTGTTACATTTTGAAGAAAGGTAATGTGGTCTCTATAAAGAAAGCAAATTCCATTAATACAAAGTGACATCTACCTACCACAAGGTTAAATTAAAACCAATTTGGCACATCACTAATTAAGGAAATATTCACTTCTTCATAATTAAAAGCACTTTTTTTCCCAATATTCAAGAGCATTTCCCTGTTGACACATAGCTGTTGATTGTGCCTGGTGAGCTATTTATCTGCTGTCCTGATTTATTCTCCTGTTTGCACACAACAGAATGTAGATCCAACCACAGAGAAGGCTGCAGCATGCATATTTCTAAATCACCAGAATTTGTAAGTAAATCAACACAGTTTCTCACAGTAAGCTGCAGGCAGATGCAGATTTCACCCTAAATTTAAAAAAAAAATTAAGAGGGAGAGGAAAACTTTGCTGAATTGTAATTCAACTTTATTTATCCATTATCTCTCTTTCTTGTATGACACAATACTTTATACACAAGCAAGTCAGAATTTGCATGTATTTATGTCCTTCAGGAAGATTTCAAAACCGGTTCTTTTGCAGTCCCCGCTGCAGAAAGCTTTGAATTAATTTCCAGATCAGATTTCCTCCTAATATGCAATCTGTCACTCTGCCCTTGCATTCCTATTAGCCTCTGGCTAATCATTTGATCACTTATCCTTTGTTGTGCACTTACTCTTTGTTTTTAGGAGGAGTCCTATTTCACTGAATTCCACTCCTAAGGAGGGAGCCAATCCTGCACCAAGAAACTTGCATTCTCCTTCCTTTCTCTGGGCATGTGGGAAACAATCTCCCATAGTAGGATTTTCTCCCCCCTCTTTATATTTTCTTATTTGTTCTACAAGATGAATAATTAATAATAAATAATTTTATTTCTATCCTGAAGCTTAAATAAGACCTGAATCTCATACATAAACCTGAGCAGGATGCCCACAGTAAATACAGTTTAAAAAGCCAAATCCTGCTTTTAGTTCACTTACAAACACAATTTTAATTCTCCTCAGAGAAGCAGCTCGTTGTGGCTTTACTCAGTGCCAAGTGAGACACTGTGTAACTCTGAGACACACTACAAAAGTGAGCAAAGAACATGGTTTGTTTGGTGTTTTAAAGCTGAAACTAAACCAAGAAAAAAACCTAAAACAATACAACAGAATTTTGTCTGTCGTGTTCTATGCACTTTATTCCTTGAGTAGGAATAAATAAAGTAGGAATTCCTACTCTGGGAATAAAGTGCATAGAACATGACAGACAAAAAGTCCTGCATCCTTTGCTCCAAATAACAAATTGTACTTCACTTCCCTGACACCCACCACGAGCGAAGCCACGTCAAGTTACATTGTGCAAGTTAAATGTCAGCTCTGCTTGGCAGCCCTGATGTGGAACGGAAGGAAGAGATTACACAGCCACGAGACCGAACTGTGACACAAGTGAGCACAACAAAACCCCACCGTGGGCTCTGATTTATTCCACTCTGAAACACTGACATGAGGCATCTATTTTGGGACTGAACGAGACAGGTTTCCTGCAGAACAAACTGTGTGCAAGGGCACAGTCTGAGGCTCCAGCAATATGCAGATGCAGGAAGTCCTGAACTACAACTACATGAGCAACCTTCGTACAGTCACTTCCTAATTTTCAGGTCCCAAATTTGCACCTATTATGCTAGTTTTAGATAATTTTCAGTAGGCACCAGGAGCTACTCGATGGAGAACTAAGCAGTTCTGAACATCTCAACAGGCCATAGACCAGTATTCAGCAGAAATCAAAATTATATTCATAGTTTATTATTCAACAGGCTCCTTGAAAGCAGCAAGAAACTACACTCTTAAAATACGTATCACTTCATCGTGTTCTGAAAGCTTGGTACTAGCTCTCTGACAGAAAAAAGATGTTTGATAAATACAAAATATATTTGCTTTACACTTCCATTATTATAGCCTGCAGTGCCACCATGAGCTGTGACTCTCTAAAATATACATACCATGCATATATAACTCAGAATGCCCTTGCTGTGCTACAACATTGTTCAGCACTGAAGATATGTGTCCCTACCTGAAAAAACATTAGGTGCTGGAGAAAAGGGAAGCCAAGGTTATGTTTTTAAAACTGTCCCCAAAATCTCTTCTGAGGTAGCCCAATCTTAAAATCAAATATGTGGATGGCTTTTTGGTTACTAGGAAAAAAAAAAAAAAGTGTAACTTTTTCTTACTGTCCTATCCAAAACGAGACCAAATGCTGAAGTCCATAGCAATTACACCAGAGAATATATATATTAAATTTATTTGTGATAAATCCCTTCAAATCATTTAACTAAACAGGCTGACCAACTTTTCTGATCAGTTTTCCCTCATCTACTACTGATAATATTAGAGCTCTATAAAGATGTTAAGCACTGTGGAAAAATGGAAGCAAGCTCCCTTCCAGCCTTCCCACAAGAGAAGACAGAAGGCTGGGAAAAAACGAGACTGGATCAATAAAAACATGCAGGCTCCACAGTTCCTACTTCCAAAAATATTTGGGAGTCAAAAGTAGACAGAGCAACCTTGATTTTCAGCTGAGGGAATACCAGGTAAAACAGGGACTCCTCATAAATATCTATAAATAAAGGAGATAAATGAAAACGCTTTTAACTCTCACCCTCCAAAGAGTTCAGACAGGAAGATACCAAGTTTTCCCAAAATACTGAAAAAGATTAGAGGCTGAACAGCAGAAATAGCAGAATAAACACTCCCAGTCCCTGCACAGTCCAGCCCATCCAAGCTGGATCCTTCATATCAACTGCACGTGACAAACCCCTTTGGGCTCGTGCCTCCCTCTGCTGATACAGGGGTTGTTCAAAATTGAATCTGTCCTAATCCAAACAATGTGGCAAAGTTAAAAAGGAAAGCAGGGAAGGAGCTCAGGAAAGAAAGTGAAACTAGGGAGTATTTTGGGCAAGCTTCCATTCTTCCTGTTAAAGAATAAGAATGGAATAGGAAGTACTTCAGTGCTGCACTGAGTTTCTTATACGTATAATTCAAATTGTGGAAACATCAGGACTGATGGATGGATGCCACTGCAAAACATCAACCACTTCAGCCCTCACACCTTATGGCCTTAAAAGTCTGCTCTTTGTGTTCATTTTGCACTGAATCCCCCACATATTCAATTTTAAGAAGCCTCCCAATACCTTGATGGATTGTTTGTAATATTTCCTCTTAGTGGAAACTTAAAAAAAAAAATCTTGGGGTAAATTGTCTGCTTTAAAATACATATGTAGAACAGAGTGTGTGAAAGATGTTTGTTAACATGGAGATATTCTGAGAAGTGAAAAACATTGTCAACTTCCTTGCCAGTCTTCAGATTATGGATGCTCATCCCAATGAATTTCTGCTCCCCTGCTTCCTTTTCCTTCCACCTTTATCTTTTACCCTAATTTTTTTTGGAACTTACCTATGGCAAGCTTAAAAAACAAAAAGTCCCTCTTATTCTATAGGGAACACTTGGGCAGCAGATTTATTTTGGTAAAACTTCATTAGTTTGATTACATGTGTACATTTATGCTAAAAAAAAAAAGGAAAAGTTGCCTACATAGTTCATCACATATTCCATTCTGAAGTACAGCTGCAGGTTGGGATTTTGTTGGGGTTTTTTGTTGTTGTTGTTGTTGTTTTTTGTGTGTGTTTGTTTTTTTGGGGTTTTTTTTTTTAAGTTTTTTTTCTTTTTCATTACTTAAAGC